CACACTGGGTCAAGAAATATTTTCTTTTGTCTGTTCTCACTCTCCCAACACTCAATTGGAGTCGATGTCCCCTGGTTCTGGTATTGCATGAGAGGGGGGAAAGCTTCCCTCTCTCCACTTTATCCATCCCCTGCATCATTTTATATGTTTCAATTATGTCATCCCTCAGGCGCCTTTTCTCTAGATTAAAGAGCCCCAAATGCTGTAGCCTTTCCTCATAAGGGAGGTGCCCCAGCCCAGTCATCATTTTAGTTGCTCTCTTCTGCACCTTTTCTAGTTTCCAGTATGTCTCTTTTTTGAGGTGCTGCAACCAGAACTGTACGCAATACTCCAGGTGTGGCCTCACCAGCGTTTTGTACAAGGGCATTATAATGTTGGCTGTTTTATTTTCAGTCCCCTTTTTAATGATACCCAGCATGGAATTGGATTTCTTCACCGCCTCCACACATTGTGTTGACACTTCCATCATGTTGTCCACCAGTACACCAAGATCTCTTTCCTGATCTGTCACGGATAGCTCAGAACTCATTAACTGATAACTAAAGTTTTAATTTTTTTTTAAATTGTTGACCCAATGTGCATTACTTTACATTTTCTCATATGATCCTTCTGGAGCTCTTCATAAGCCCCTTCTGGTCTTCACCACCACCGCTTATCCCTGTCTCCAGGTCATTGATGAACAGGTTGAGAAGCACCAGTACCAGGACAGCACCATGGGGCACACCGCTCTTCACCTCTCTCCATTGTGAAAATTACCCATTGACACCTAATCTCTGTTTCCTGGGTCTCAACCAGTTTATCAATCCATAAGATAGCCTGCCCTTTTATCCCCTGACTGTGGGGTTTTCTCAGCAACCTTTGGTGAGGGACTGCATCAAGCGCCTTCTGAAAATTCAGATAGACAATATCCCCTGGTTCACCCCCCATCTACATGCCTGTTGACCTTTTCAGAGAATTCTAAAAGGTTTGTGAGGCGAGACGTACCCTTACAGAAGCCATGCTGGTTTTCCCTCAACAAGGCTTGTTCTTCTATGTGTTTTAAGATCTTATCTTGGATGAGGCTTTCCACCATCTTCCTTGGAACAGACGTTAGCCTAACTGGCCTGTAGTTTCCCAGGTCCCCCATCCTTTCCTTTTTAAAGATTGGTATGACATGTGCTGTCCTCCAGTCCTCAGGCACTGTGGCCGTTTTAAGGGACAAGTTGTATATTTCAGTAAAGAGATCAGCAACTTCATTCCTCAGTTCCTTAATAACCCTTGAGTGGATGCCATCTGGGCTCAGTGATGTATTGATTTTCAATCATAAATTAGGTGTAAAACATCCTCCTTTTTTAACCTGTGTCTGATTTAATTCATTAATCATGAGGGGCTGTTGGGGCAGTGGAATCTTCGCATAATCTTCTGTTGTGAAGACAGATACGAAGAACTCATTTGATTTCTCTGCAATCTCCAAGTCCCCCTTTCCCTCCCTCACCATCCAGAGGGCTAATCGCTTCTCTAGCAGGTTTCCTGCTTCTAATATATTTAAAGAAGCTTTCAGTATTCCCCTTTATATTGCTGGCAATATGTTTCTCAGTGTCCTTCTTTGCCTTCTGTATCATCTTCACATTTCTTTTGACAGAGTTTGTGTTCCTTTTTATTTCCCTCATTTGGGAAGGATTTCCATTTACGGAAGGACCCCTCTTTGCCCTTCAAAGCCTCCCTAATTCCACTTGTTAACCATGCCGGCATCCTCTTGGCCTTAGTTGAGCACTTCTTTCTTTGCGGTATACATTTCCACTGGGCCTCTACTACCGTTGTTTTAAACAGGCTCCATGCATTCTGGAGACATTGGGTTCTTTTTATCTTCCTTTTCAACTTCTTTCTAACTAGTTTCCTTGTCTGGGGGACATCCGCCCTTCAGAAATCAAGGGTTTTTGTGTCAGATTTGCTTTACACTCTCCCCCCAACATGCATGGTGTAAGAGATTGCAGCATGGTCACTATTCCCTAGCAGCTCATTCCTGGTTAGGGACATTCACGTCCCTAACCAGGTCCCGAGTACCACATAATATTACATCCAGAGTCACCTGTCCTCTGGTGGGCTCCATGACAAGTTACTCGAAGGCACAGTCATTTAGCATGTCAAGTAACACAGTCTTTCTTTCTTGACCCAAGCACATATTGACCCAGTTGATGTGAGGATAATTGAAGTCCTCTATGATTACAATCCTGTCCCTCTTCGACACCTCCCTGACTTTTCTCCTAATTTCAAGGTTGTCCTCAAGTTTTTGATCTGGAGGACAATCTCTCACTCACACACACGCTATCACATCACTCCTTGGGCCTGGAACTTTAACCCACAGTGATTCTATGATGGAGTCAGACTCACCGTCCATTTCCATTCTATTGAATTATACCTCCCCTTTGACATATATGCCACCCCGCCTCCAACACGCCCCTCCCTATCCCTCCTATAGAGTTCATAGCCTGGAATTGCGGTAGCCCACTGGTTCTCCAAATTCCACCAGGTTTCTGTTATGGCCACTTTATCAATGTTATCCCTATCCACCAAATGTTCCAGCTCTCCCATCTTTGCTTGGACTCTTCAGGCATTTACATAGAAGCTTCTGCATATTGGGGTCCCCCAAAAAGGGTGGTTTGTTTCTTTTTTTCACATCTGCTCCTTCCAGTGGAAAAACTATCACATCCCATCACTTTTCCAGTCCTAATTCCTACAGTCATCACTTTGTGGTTTTCTACCCTCTCCACCCTCATTCCACAGGGATGAGTAGTACCGAACAAGACACCGCTCAAGTCCTGTTGGGTTTCCCCCACTCTTATACTCATTCGGGTATCACATCCAAGCTGGTACAGGTGGTCATAATGGTATTTTCTTCTCTCTACAACCAACTCTGTACTATATGAAAACCACTTCCAGATGACTTCTTAGTCCTTCAGAGCTGGCTTTGAGAGTATAGGGTGTAGGTTGTCGTAGGAAAAGATTTTATCAGAATGTGTGACCTCCACTGTTCAAGAAATTCTAAATATGCAATATATTTGATGATAGCAATTATATATATATAATTGCTTTCATCAAATATATATATATATTACTACTTGGCATATGGCACATGGCATACTAGTATTTATTCTTTCATTGTTTAACTCTTACCAAAAACACGACCCCTCTACCCATGTGTCAGTGTGTTTCAAGACAAGGTTTACATTTCAGATTTGAGTGAAACTCAAGGGGAGAATGAAGAAATCAAACTATAGGGATTCAGGACAGAGATTCTCTAGGTATCCTGCCTGATCAGATGCACATGGGCAACTGGAGTAAAATAAAATAATGTATTCTTTGGAAAGCTACATGTGTAAGTGAACAGCTTCATTCTGTCAGTTCCACACAATCAAATTTAACAACTTCTTTTGCAAAATTAGTGGATTCTGCACTGATTTGGTTGGTATTTTTCCTGCCATTCGCATGATGTAAGGTTTGCCTTGCTTAGTTCAATGTCTTTCCCCACAACTTTCCTAAAGTTTTTGTTGCTGTTAAGAACAGAGTTTATTTTCAGTTCCACTTTGTTCTGGCGGCAGTGAAGTGTAGCGCTATGATGCGTGGGTG